AGGAATTTTAAATAGTTAATTTAATACTAATATCGATATATTTTTGTCAAATTTTTATAATATCTTCAGATTTATATTTTATTCAAAAATAAAAACATCATTGCTTTTTCAAAATCACATAAGACCATATTATAAAATCAACTGAGATAAAGAATAAAATAAAATACTAAAATCAAGATGTATTTCTGTTGGTCCCTTGAGGGTCTACAAGATATGTATAACAGTTTGTAGAAGGGGGAAGGGGATGAATACAAACACAGTATTTTCAAATTTAAAATGTATATTAATAAAAGAAGATCAATACAAATTTTACAAGACTGTTTAAGGTAAGAAAACATATCTAAATAATCTTTGGTTACACACAGAATCTTAGCAAATGAGAAAAGAAATGTTGTAAAGAGAAGTTATTTTACTTAAGCTCTAGAATGCACAAAGTAAGAATTAGGTTAAGAGAGTGTGTTGCGCGCACTCTACATTGAGAAGAAACACTTCTATTTATACACAATGCATTAAATGTTCATTTAATGCAATATGGTAGGGTTAGAGTGTGTGTCAAGGCTTAAGAGGAAGGTTTGTCCTTTGCTACAGTGAATAGTACAAAAAGCCTATTCATGAGCAGACATCCTTACCTAAAGTTGGTGGGCAATAGAGTCGACTAGCTGGCTCCGTACCGTACTAACATTTAGAAAGGGTATGGGTTTGTCCTTTGTGTGCATAAGGACAAGACAACAACAATCGTGCTTAGCAAGCTTCCTTTGATCGCTGAATACTGGAATGACCTGGAAGTCTCTTCAGTATTGCTGAGGCTTGAGTAGTCTTCACACATATGTAGACAAGCTTGTAATCACTGAGTACCGCTTCAGATCACGTACTTGCCAGTCTCTAATCTTCAGTTTCAGTCTTCGACATTAGCTGAAGGTTCTTTGGTGTGAGTGTTATCTTCTTGAAGTATCGTGTCACACTTGAATTACAATACAAGTTCTTCAGCGATCACTTGGAACTGAAAAGACAGAAACATAAAAATACTTCGTATAAGTGAAAAGAGATTATCATCAAATCACTGAGAGAGAGGATCAACAATCTCCCCTTATTTGATGATAACAAGACAACATAAAGAAAGTTGTCTTATCAAATAACAGTAAGGAAAAGTTACATATAAAGTGCATTTCCCTTTTTACTATTTTGGGATCTTTTTCAGTGAGTCAGTCTTTGCTTGAGAATTTTCCTTCAGTCATATCTAAGAGAAAATTACAAGTATGGAAACTGAAACTGAAATCTTATTCACTAACTTATAGATTGTCAGTGAATGTAAAAAGTAACACTGGAACTCATAGACTTGTGTCCCTATTACTTTTTTCAGGGATCTTTTTCAGTGAAGTACAAGAAATACTCATTTTATTATCATTGGTAATATTACAAGTAGTTCAGTACATGTCTAATACTTACAGACTAGAAGATTAATCACTGAAAGTAGACATAGTAAAATAGATTTCCAAGGAAAAGTGAACAGTAATACAAAGAGAAACTAATCTAAAACACTTAGATCTATGTAACTGGGTACATCTTTATCAAGGTTTCTTCGACGTAGGCATTCCCTTCATATCTTCAGATCCATGACTTTTCCACACATGCTATCATCTATCCAGAACAAAAGGTAAACCAGATGACCCATTGGACATAGATGTAGCTTTGACATTCTTTGAAATCTGAATTCACCTTCATAGTCAAGGAATATAACTCCTAACTCAGGTTTGAAATGCACGGTGTTGGGTGTATAAGGACCCTTATCTGGCAAGTCGAGATTCAGCAAAGAAATGTCTATACTCTCGTCACCCTTTAGGATTTCATCTAAGGAGAACCTTGTTTCATGTTCGTTCCTTAGGAATGGTCCATCATTAGGATTAGAGAGCTTTTGTTTCTTCTTCCCACCTTTCTTCAGAGAAGGCCTGCCAGGGACTACGACATACCTGGACATTCGTTTGATGAGATCGCTGATGGTGTTCTAGATAATCGCCTTATGTCTTGACTTGGATCGCTGAATGGCTTGCCTAATCTCCATCCATTTGTTGTATCCATATCGGCCAAGGAAGGAAGGGTACTCGGTGATGGCATCGAGATTGTCCCAAGTGATGAGCATTGAGACCAGTGTTCCACCGTCTTTTGAACGTCCGTTGATGCTGACGCTAATGATCGGGCGGCGACTGACTCTCTTCTTCAGTTTTGCTTCGCTCCATCGCTTGTCCTTTTCGACCAGCTTCTTCTCATGCTTAACTTCTGCAATGGAAAGAAGTTTAGCCTGGGCTTGGACAGCGTTCACCTTCTTCTTGGACTTTCTCTTGGAGAGAATCTTCTCAACTAGTGACTTGGCCAGCTTTAAGTTGTCTTTAGTCTGCTTCCTCTGAAGCTCTAGCTCTTCTTCAGCCCTTAATGCCTCGAGTCTTTCAGCTTCTGAAAGGAAGTCAAACTCACCACCACTAGAGGTACGAAGAGGGATTTTTACTCTAGTTTGGTCGAGTGACTCCTTTAGCTGAGCCATCTGCTGGTCGGTGGGAGCACTGGAGACATGGTTTTTAGGGAGCCACTCCAGTCGACCGCAGGTTGTTGATGGAATTTGAAGTTGATACAAAGAAGTGACTACTACCTGAGAGGTAGAGTCTTCAAATAAGGGTTGAGAGATATTAAAAAGTACCTTCAGATTCCCTTCTTCAGCGACCGTTTTGCCTTTTGATTGGTGGTCCTGGTTCTTTGATGGAGCAGACTCTCCTTCCCTTTGCTCCCCCTGGGATGCAGAATCCCTGAGGGCAACTCTCTTGGTGGCGGTTGTTGGCTTTTGATACTTGATGGTAAAATCATCTTCATCATCATCGTCATCATCACCATCTAGGTCATGTCCGGGGTCTGGGAGAACAGGTTCGTCATCTTCATCATCATCATCTTCGTCATCATCATCATCATCATCACCAGCAACAGCGATGATGGGAAGAGCATCATCCCTTGGGATGGGATCGACTGCCTCAGCTGAAACATCTTCGGTGGTCGGGATTACAGGAGCAGCAACCGCTTCAGCTCTAGGAGCTTCAGCTTCAGCTGGAAATAATGTTGGAGCAACAGCAGGAGCAGGTTCAGCAGCAACATCAGATGGTCCACTCTGGCTAAGACTTGAGAGTATAAGCCAGAGAGTTCGTCCACACGCTGATGCTGGAGAACCATCATATCCTCTAGCCTTGACAGAGCAGAGGCTAGAGTTGTCGTTGCCTCACGCATCTCATAGAGCTGAGCACGATCATCAGCAAAGAAAGAAGGCAGGATCACTGGGCTGGTTGACGGACAGCATCCAGGATCTGCTGAAGAAGTCTCGTCTGCTGAATGGAGAGAGCCAGAGCATCATCAGCCCTGCTGGAGAGAACAGCAATGGCTTCAGTGTTGGCTCTAACAGCATCTTGGAGAGTCGAGAGGTGACTCTAAACTTCCTGAACGTCTGCTCGGAGGGGCTGAGAGGTCCACTTCAAGGTCAGCCTTACGAGGCATCTCTCGGTGAACTTCAGTCGTCCTGCAGAAAACTGAATCAACGGCTGCGAGGATGAGTTTAACATCAGATGCCATATCATAGTCATCATCAATCTCTTCATCCCCTCCGTCTACTTCCTTTTCTTCTTCTTCCTCCTCTTCTTCAACATATGACTGATGCATAGAAGAAGGACC